GATTTACACTCTCGGGAACCTGTTCTGAGACATGGTCGAGACACGTTCAGTCATGGCCGAGACATGTTCCGACAGGTCAAGTGCAAGTCGTGATGTGATTGGTTAAATCTTATCATCTGCTCACCGTGTCCTCTGATTGGTTGATTCTTGAACAATTTCACCGTGTTCTCCAAGGTCGTCACCTCCCATAGGATGTTATTTCAAACTCGGCAGCGGTTAAAAGGGTATATATGTGCAAGCACAGTACTCCATTCACTCACAACTGCCTTTGTTGTTTCGTTGCTCAAGCCTTCTCTCTCCCCCTCTGGATCTCTCTGGATCTCTCGTGACTGATATCATGATGGCCACTGATGCTGTTGTTGCTGGTGAAGATGTTGTGGACTGTTTGGGTATTGACCCGGTCGCTATCAAGACGATAAAGAAACCCGGTCTCTACAAGCGACGTGCTAGCCGTAATCCGAATCTGGAGCCTCTGCCTAAGATCAAGATGCCATCTCCTCGTCCTACCATACTACCAGGTGTCGCCACCATTATTACGGATGGGGCAGCAGAGTGTGTTGAAGCAATGTACAGCAAGACCGCCCACGACTATCAGATTGCTCCTGGCACCGATTTCTACTATACGCGCGGTGATTTACCGGGCATGCTTGTCAATGGCACGGTATGCGAAGGACGCTTTGGTCAACTTAAGCTGTACGTCCAGGCTTCACAAGACGATCTCATTCAATTCTTCCTGAAGACCTCAACACCTTTGAGACGTGCCGTGAGATCTCCACATATCAACAGGATACGGAGTAACATCTTCCCTGCAATGTACCAAGGGAAGAGTGTGACTGCTGTGTATCTCAAGCCAACCAAGGGTACACCCAACTTCCTGATGAACGAAGAGTGTCAGCTCTATCTGCATCCTTCCACTATATCTTTCAACAGGGAGAAGTGCGAATTCAAGGCATGGCTTTCGGCAATCCCCCTGATGTTTGTAGACTCACGGCTTTGTGAAAGGGATCGCGACACCGTACAAGACCTTCCCCAGACTGAATTGACTCGACTGGTGATTGCATTCCTCAAGAAGTGGAGCACTGCTGACAACGTGACTGCTGACATTGCGTTTGACACAACGGTTGCGGCGGCAGCGTCTCTCCCTGACACCCTACCGGACAATTCACTGGACTTGAATCTGCTAAATGCTTAGTCTATCTTACAACATTGATTGATCAGAAAGACTTTATATCCTAACCCTTTTTTTTTCATGCTCTGTTGCTCTCTCTCTCTCTCTCTCTCTTGCTAACATATCATCGCTTCATTAGATTACCACTAGCGCACATGAGTATTATAATGATTTATTTGAGAAAGAAAATAGTTCCTATCATAATTAGAACAGTGTGTATGTGTGTGTGTGTGTGTGTGAAGATGGCGTACTGGGCTACGCATTTCCATAGGAGTGATGGTGATGAGGCCTCCCTCAAACACATGCAAAGCATGCGGAATGACATTATCGAGATGCAATCGGTTGTGGGGAACGATGACACCGAAAACACCTTGGTTCATGATGTGGAGAAACTGAAAGAGGAGAAAGCCGATGAGAGCAAAGTGGAAGATGTGGAAAACAGATCTACGCGCTACACAGATCAAGCCATAGCAGCTGATGAGCTGCACGTTAAAACAGATGGATCCGTGTCCATGGATGCTAACCTCGACATGAACGAGCATTCAATCTGTAATTTGGTGTACGATGATAGCTCTTTGACATGTGCTGTCCCTGCCGGTTGGGTCAAGAATGAAATCCGCCAATCCTCATCGAGATTGCAACGCGACATCGACGCTGTGCGCAAGATGAAAGGTCCTCGTGGTGATCGTGGATTGGGCTGGCTTAGTGGAGGTGGCATGCCACTGAACTCGGTAGGGAGAAATGGTGACTTCTATCTCGATGCAACCACGCTCATCGTGTACAAGAAATTCAGCTCTAAATGGATGGCTTTCGGTCGGCTTCGTGGACCAAGAGGTGAAGCTGGTCCACGTGGGGAACGTGGATTGATCGGTCCTGAAGGTGAGACTGGACCTAGAGGAGGCGATGGACAAGGTGGTGAACGCGGTCAAAAAGGCGATCAAGGAATACCTGGTCCAGGTGGTCCCAGAGGTTAAGTTGGACCACGTGGAGAACGTGGATTAGTCGGTCCTGAAGGTGAGATTGGGCCTAGAGGAGAAGATGGGCAAGACGGCCGACAAGGTGAACGTGGAGTGCAAGGTGATCAAGGAACCACAGGTCCCATGGGTCCCCAAGGAACCATCGGTCCAACCGGTCCTCCAGGAAACAGAGGTCCCGTGGGTCTCCAAGGAATCATCGGCCCCATAGGTCCTCCAGGAACCAGAGGCCCCATGGGTCCGCAATCAAATCAAAACCTATCCGATCCATTTCATCTACTACCTCACATTCGGAGCAACTCCTACCTCTACATATACTCTCATCCTAGCAGATTTGAATCCATCACCAGGGTGAGCAGAAACAGATACAGAGGGGGAAATCTCGTTGACATGAAGGACAAGAGAATCATCGTGAACGGCATCGACATGTTCCGAGACGGTCACTTCTACCTCAACATTACACAACACGAGCAAGTTTCCATTAGAGAACGATTCGTCAATCTGTTTCACGACAACATGTCTTTTGCAATGTTCCAAGTAATTCAAGTGGACGCACCTGACCCTAGAAACATGTCGTTGAGGGCATTCGACATCGATACTGTCAGAAATTTCAGCTTGGATAGTTTATACGTGTTGTTCACTGCCACCCACATAAGTGGCAACTACTTTACGGGTTCCGACTCTTCATCATTCAGCCTACCCGTTTCGTCTTTAGCGAACCGATTATCAGGGGCCTTGGATAAGCCTGTGTCGAGCATGACGGATCTCTTGGGTACAAAGTGTGTCATAAGTTACGCTCGGAATTCAGAAGGTCTATTCACTCTATACGTAAACTCCATTTTGATACATTCCAACTTGGACACGGATCCATTTTCCAGAACCAATGGAATCGAAGATTGCGATTATCGCATTGGTGGCACGCAATTCTTCAACGGCACTACGTCAAAGTTGTTCTGTCATTTGCACTTTGCAGAGAGTTTATCTTCTCATACAATCCAGCGCATCCACACAGAACTCATGGCACACTATAATATATGAAAGTGCTACTTTGATTGTACGTAATAGCACACATGCTACACTACATTCATGAAATGAAAATGAAAAATAAAAAAGAGAGTGTCTCTACAAGTTCTTCACCATGTACAGTCATCATCATAAGTTGAACGTGTTCTTTCTAGCTCAGAGCTTTGATAACATTAATGACATGAAGATTAATGCAAACTTTATGTATCTATTTCGCTTCACTGATAAAAGCAATATCAAGCGTTATCTCAATACTCTTTTTGGTGGTCTGTGCACGAAGTCATCCATTATCTTTAGATTGTATGAGAAGTTATTGGCGATGTGTCGCAGACCTATCCTAACGATTGATTGCTCTTTTAATCAGTACTACACGTATTGCGAAGACACTGCATTAAAGGTGATTTTTGAATAAAACCCTCGTTGATTTGCGTGTTTGTGTGTGTGTGTGTGCACGATATTAGCCGAAAAGTTAGCCGAAAAGTTAGCCGAAAAGTTAGCCGAAAAGTTAGCCGAAAAGTTAGCCAAAAAGTTAGCCGAAAAGTTAGCCGAAAAGTTAGCCGAAAAGTTAGCCGAAAAGTTAGCCGAAAAGTTAGCCGAAAAGTTAGCCGAAAAGTTAGCCAAAAAGTTAGCTGAAACATTGGAAAAAAATTCCATTCATGTATTAAGAATAGAGCACCTAACAGTGAGATTCTCCAATGGGCTACCGAGTAGTATACGAAAAGTTGGATCTAAAGTTGGATCGTTCATCATTCCCAAACAGAAGAGGTTGCGGACGCTACAGTTTATGTTGAGGCATCCTCAGCATGGCATCAAGAAGAGAGCGTCATCGTGGGAAGTTCTTGGTACACCTCCTCGAATGCAACAGAAGGGAGGTATCAATTATAATACCTACTTGAAAAGCGTGAAGAAAGTTCTATCGCAGGTACCAGATCGCAACTTGAGCAACGCTACACTATTAGAGCTTCAAACCGACCCGCGAATAAAGAAACTGTATGCCACCCACTTCAAAAACACTCCAGATCACATCAGTTACCCTTCAGTACGAAACGTGATTACCTCCAACATACTTAACTATGACGCTTCGACTGGTCAAGTGCGTGACTCTGTGGCTGATGTGAGGAAAAAGAGGACCGCACCGTTAACTTCAATCCCCCTCAACCTGACACAAGATCATGAATTTGATCGAGGGATCCTGCAAATCCTAGATGGATTCCTTAAACGGACGGATATACCGCAGACCTTTCTGAAGAGCAATTACTTCACCAGCAGATCTACGCTGCTTCAACTATACGATGAAGATCGTTTGCGCTTCAAGAGCAAGGTTGAGGAAGCATCAGATGCTCTCAAGGCACAGACGATGAACGACTATACAATCCCGGTGAACGAAACAAATCGCATCTACCTATCCCGGTACCCATTTGGCTACATAGCCGGTGCTATCGGCATCAACAGACATGCTGGACTGAAGAGGTGTTCACTGTGGACCAAGTTCTGTCATCATCACCCCACACCTACAGAATTCGTGACTTAATGGGAGAGGTCATACTGGGAACTTTCTATGAAGCAGAACTACAACACGCCAGAGAGACCGGATTGAGATTCGATAAAGTCTTGAAATATAAGAAGGATAAACGTTTCGTGCAATGGAAAGGCTACAGCAATGAGAAAAATTCAATACATGGCTGAAGAAGAAGGAAGTTGACAGTCTTAAATCTTGAATAACAACTATGTACAATTTTCAAATGTACTGTGCTGTGTGTTTCATGATGATCAAGAATATGTGTGTTCGGAGGTTTGAGCATGTGTGCACATAGACACACTTTAACAACAGATTGCTAATGCGTAGAAATGCCCTTGTGCCCATAGGCCAGCGTGTGAACTCCATCCTCCAGGATGTATTTCTTGGAGTCAAAGCCACTGAGTGCTACCTTCAGGGTACTCTCGCCATAGATATGGTGCTTGCGGCTGCGTAGTGCATTCATCACTCGACTCATTTGTACTTGTTGTGTGAGGCATCGACGATAATCATCCATTGTGATCAACGATTTGAGAACCTCGCGTTGGACACCTTTTGCCCACTTGTCACTGCTACCTCCTGCACACTCATACGCGTACATCTTACTCCGAAGGGCGACAAACTCGGCGATGGGCTGCCCTCCCAGCTCGTCTTTGAATTTACCCACAACTTTCCTATTGATGGTGCTGTGAAGCGGGTGGTCCACGGGATAATTAGACGTGTCATAGGCATCACCATACTGTTGCATGTCCACGTACACATCTTCGGTCTCTACAGATAATACCAGACTGTCGGTGTCCGTATAGAGCATGTGAAGCTTATCCTCGTAACGTGGTTGAAGCACACTGTAGTAGAAATCGTACATCAATAACTTCGATAGATCGAGAATCGTTGCACCTACGTACACGGGTTTCGTTAGAGTGACCTTCTCCCTTGAGCATTCGACTGATACCAGATCATTATCGAACACTACGCTCCGAATGTACGAGGGTTTGTTAATACGTCGCTGAATCTTCTTTTCCTCCTCGTTTGCTCTCAGCACACGGAGGTTGATGCGCTTCCTCACGTTCTCCATTGTTTTTCCGTAGACAGAATTATTCATGAGCTGCACACGTGAACAAAGTGTGTAGAAAAAAAGACAAAAAAAAAGAAAAGAAAAAAGAATTGTCAGGTACAGACATAAAGAATTGATTATCATATTGTAGGAAAATACCTGCATTGATAATTTGTATGATTCACACACACACACACACACACACGCACGCACGCACGCACGCACGCACGCACGCACGTACACATGCACAGAAAGAAGATATGCCTAACCTTGAAGAAATCCTTTTCAAAATCAGATGTGGCCATCTTTCTCAGTTCTGTGTTCTTCTCAATGTAAGAACGCATCCACGGTTCTTGACGGAATGAGAGGATACGATGAACATCAGGCACCTCGACACCGAGAGCCACATACTGTTGTAGATTCCTGTAGTGCAGGATATAGCGTTGCTTGGGGAGGAGATTGGGGATGAGCTTTGTTGCTTCCAAACCAATCACCTGAAACACCATACCAACACAATCAGAAGATCCGCAATGGATTAGATAACATAGAATATTCACCACAATCATAAAATCACCAAAACAAAATCATCAGCAATAATTGTAGTCGTAGTAGTAGCACTAGTGCGAGCATAGACAGCAGCACAAGAGCACACAATACATACCTTTTGCTGGTCTGTCAGGTTCCTTTGGTACGGTGATAGCATATCATGTGTCACCTTGAAGCGCTCTGGGGCCAGCGGGTAGTCGTTAAAGTAATCGTGTAGTTCTTTGGGAATCCTCAAATCGCATTCGATGAGATACCCCGTAGGTGCATCGGTTGGGTGCTGTAGGATATCAGCGATCAACTCATCCGTCGGTGACAGGAACTTGAACCGTCCAACAGGCAGAGGTTGCATCATGGCCCACCCGTACAAGTTGTTCGCATCGAGATACATGATGAAGGAGCTTGGTTGTTGTTCATCGTAATCAGGTAGATACTTGTTGTTTGCCTTCGACCACCTGTGCGAAACCATGCTGATACCGCCGCGCTTGCCATGCTCCACGAAATTGTACACGTCAACGTCACTGAGCTGATCAAGAGAAACTTTCGTCAGCTTCAGAAGTGCATCCCAGGCCAGGCCGGGTAGAGTAAGATAGTTGGCTGGGTCCAGACCATACGTATCATATGCTGTCTTGCGAAAGTTCTCAAATACATCAGCCAACAGGATGACATCTGTGAGGAGGTAAACATCGTGATAGTCACCCATATCCTGACATGCGAACGTAGTCCAAACACGTTGGGCATGGGCATACTCCTCATCCGTAATACCTTTCCCGGTGAGGGACGAGTGAAAAGCTCCTTTTTCAGGTAGCTGTGTTTCATCAAAGCACTAAAATCCTGTCATGTGCTCGTACGGGTAAATACCCTTCTTGCATACCAAAGCACGCTGTACTGGGTCCGGAAACGCATCAACCAGGATTCTGAATTTGTCTTGGGGTGTTAGGCTGACCAGCCGCTCCAAAGATGTATTCAGGAATGCAAGACTGTCAATGAACTGGTATTGCCGCCATCCAAATGTGAGGTATTTTTCACTATTTACCGGTATGATGGATATACCTCCAAGTTTCCTTGTCTGTAAAATACATACCATTGACCATTGACCATTGGACGCCCATCGCCAGAGGCGATGATAGCGATGCTACAGCAGAAGCCATAGCAACTTGTGCTGGGATTGCACCATTCAACAGCTTGCAAGGCTGAAGAATTGACCACCACTATTCAGCCTGGTCTACACCACACAGCTTTGAAGTGGCTTTTTTCTGGCCAGTGAATCCCTACTTTTTGGTCTTTTTTTTCTTCTTTTTTCCCGCACACACATCACACCACATACTCCGGCATGCACTGGCTGTTGGTAACCACCCAGGAGAATGAAAGAAAAGTCAGGAAGAGTCTGAGAAAGAGAAGAAAGACGTGTGTGACCATAATCGTCGGGAATCGAACCCGCAACCTATCGATTGGAAATCGCTGCACATACCACTGCACCATATGGGACAAAATACATACACACACACACACACACACACACACACACACACACACACACACACAAACACACACACACACACACACACACACAGAAAGAGATGGGAAAACCATCAATGTGCAATGTGTTGACAGTGACATTCAACGACCTGACGTTCGGCTCCATCACGTATTGAATACACGGATCAACAGTCTTCACGCCAGTCATAAAATTCCAGTCATTTGAAGAAAGAAAAAACATGAAAAAATCAATGTGCAATCATGAATACAACCAATTCAACTCAAATACATCACAGATTATGGTAACATCAGTTAGTTGTACCAGGAAACTCACCTTCTCTTTACCATGCTCCTCATACGTCACTTCATCACAGGAAGTTCGCCCCATCTGTGATATGATATGATGTGAGTCATAGCCTTTCAAGTTGTGAAAGACAACTGGAATCTTGATGCGATACGGGCAGATTCTCAACATCAGGTTACACTTGTTGTGCGCCGGACCCCGGTAGTCTCCAGTGATGTGACAGTGGTCACGTACTCTGTCACCACCAAGCGGATTTTCGCATACCCAACACACCGTAGCCGTGTCGAATGCCATTTGTTGCTCATCTGTGAAATTCATAGCTGCTGGTTGGGTCAGATCTGCACGGATTCTCTCCTCCTCTTCCTCAAGAGCCAACAAGAAGTGGTACATTGCATCCTCTCCACGGTAATCGTAACAGTTGGTAACCTGTCCATCGGATCGTACAACAATGTAGCACACCGAGCATGCTAAGTGTTCATTCTTCTGTTCTGTTGCATTTCCTATTTTTGTTGGTTCATCCATGGATGAAATCAGTGCCTCACAGTCAGCGTAGATCACATAGGGTGCTGGCAAGCGCTTGTGGAAATTGCTGAAGCTGATCTGTGCATCAGGCTTACCCATCTCTACCCGTGCCATAGCATGCTCTTTGCAGTAGAGTAGGTGTCTATCGAGTTTGTCTTGTGACAAATGCAGGGAGAGACAGCGGAAACAGATGAAGTGCTTCCTACGACTAGTAGATGATGCAACAAGTCGACTCATATTTTTGATGTACACCCAATGCTGAGTTTGACCATCGCCGAACAGTAGGAGGTTGATAGCAGCTTGCGGTTGTTCCGAAATACGGATAGGGTAGAGTGACTTGCTTTCGTACCCTAATGCATTGATGAACAGACCAGGATTCATCTTCTCAAGCCGATCGATGTCTGTGGTCTTCGCAGGAAACTCTATGCCATCCACATTAATGTCATTGATGTGGGTGCGATACACTGAAACGCGTCCTGAGTTGCGGTTTGGGAATTTAGCAGCAAGAATAGCCCACCTGTACAGAAAGAACATTTCAGGAGATACAAGTGATGATGATGATGATGAATTCAAAAGCATTATACGTGTCAGAAACGTCATGAAAATTTGATGTGTGAGATGTGTGAGATACATGTGTGAGATAACACAACAACTATATAAATAACTTACAGCATACACTTTTGGTCTGAGTTGATGACGTTGATGATGGCCTTCTTATTCCGCAATTCGTCAGGTAGTGGAAGATACGTCGATCCACGTAGTGGCCGGTACTTTGAGATTTCGATGTTCAGAGCTTCTACACGATCTATAGTCCAGCCAGATGAGTGCTGCACAAACCGTTCAATCTATTGATAACACACAAATGGATACATACATCATCTTCAGATTCAATGACGAGCATACCAAACTGTGCACTACAGGCTTACCTGTTCGTTGATGACGTCGAACATGGTTGTTACCGTTGAGGAAATGTCTTCTGTGATGAGAATAGCTTTCGTACGTGATCGGAAGAAAAAGGTATTCGAGATAACTTCTCCGGTAGCAGGGTTTACCTTTGACATGATAACCCTCACAACTAATGATAACTTGAACTGTCCGAAATCATCGATTGTTTGTGCGAGCACATCCTCAATGGCATACGTGACAAAACTGAAATATTGCAAAACATCAAATGCATTCACCGGCCTGTGAATGAAATATCTTAGCAGCCGCTGGCAATGACAAGACTCGAAGTCAATCCTTGGTCGCTTAGGAATGGGTTCCATTTTTCATGGTTGGATTGAGGTAAAATATTGAAGTCAAGAAGCTGTTACTGTATCCCTATTTATAGGTTCAGTATGAGGATAGTTGAACAATGCTACAACACTGTGTTCTAGTTTCACCAATCACCATCCAAGACCTGATCAGAACTTACCCAATCAACTGTCTCTCTCTCTCTCTCTCTCTCTCTCTCTCTCTCTCTCTCTCTCTCTCTCTCTCTCTCTCTCTTATATATATAACAGGATTCAGAACATGTCAGAACATGTCAGAGCTTGTCTGAACATGTCAGGTTATGTTAGAGCTGGTCTGGATATGTGAACACAGGTTACTTCATAGTTTACCCCCCAGCCTTACCAAATTAGGAAAAGGGAAATACCCCCCCGGGGGGGGGCCGAAAATGAAAAAGACGGGTTCAACAACTGCTAAATGTATCGCTCGTAACGTGGTCCGTGACGTTACAAAAAGGGGCCGTAGAAACGCAGAAGGAGCGGCAGAGAGGCGTGTTCCTGTTGTCCGCACGGGAAAAGTGCCTGAAATATACTCTATTGATCACGATGAAAGTGAAAGGATGCAAAAAGTAGTACCATGAGAAAGCCTGTGAAAAGCTCCACACCATGGTCATTTTCATTAAGAATTTAAAATCAAAAACAAAAGAGATATGTCAGGATGAAGTTGTTAAAAAAACGCAAAAACGGGTCCATTGGAAATCTTGTGGGCTTCCACCGTGACGCACAGCGTGTTCTCCAAGGTCGTCACCTCATCCTACAAAACTCAAGGGGGGGTCCTATTATTTTCAATCTTACATATACTAACCACACACCAGTGTGATCTGCCACAATGTGTCTAAATTCTTTCCGTAATCTTTAGCAAAATGGGTACGTACTATTTAGTGAATGTCGACATCAGAGATAGGGTTTCCCTCTACCAGTTGCATGATGCTGCACAGGTAGACTTTTTGATTGATCAATATGATTGCTACCGTGATGGAAGGAATCCAATGGAAGCCGCTACATTTCTTTGCAGATTATCCCAGGGGACCTTTCTGGGGGCAACGTGTCCCAGAATCGATGTATGCGGGCAGAACGTGATTGACTTCGAAGAGCTATCGAGCGCGGACAGCGGCATGTTGATACACGTCAAGAACGGCAATACAGAGATGTTCACCTACTTCAACGCTCTACTACGAAATGAGCTTCAGACACTCATAACCACCAACGGTGAAAAGATGTCAGTTGGCAACTTCCTACGGCTCATCATGACGATTAATGACAACATATTTATTCGAAATGACTCAGGGAAGATATTCACAAGCCCAGCTGTGCGACTCCGTGTCCACGCCAGAAGACGATTCAACATTCAGATAAAGGTAGAGTTCGACGAGGAGTCTAATTCTTCTAACAGCGCCACGTCGGCCTATGTCCGGAAGAGGCCCAGAGAGGTGGGTGATATCGACTCGGAATGAATGATGAAAATTCAAACGGTATGCTTCTTTTTCTCTCTCTCTCTCTCTCTCTCTCTCTCTCTCTCTCTACTACTACTATCAATATAGATCTGATGTCAATCGTAGGGTACATTGTATCACATAGTATAGAATTCAATAATAATAATAATTTAGAAGTCAATCGTATGTTTCATTAGTGTTCACCTCGCTGGGTGGATAGGATTTTTCTTTTTTTCTCATTTATTAGAATGTCTCTAGCTCCATCGCAATATTTAGTATCTATCGCTGACAAATTATTACAAGATGTCTTCACAATAATATAATCGTGCTTCACTAAACTGCAATTTCAAAACAATTCGAACGTCTTACCTTGTGTCTGAGAGTTGTGCGACGCGCGGGTCTGCTTCTCCATGTCTGCTCGTTTCTCTAACTACCTATCTATACCTCGCTTCCAGAACGCAATAGCGTATCAATAACACATAGTGAAGCAAATCAACTCTTCCTTTGAACTGCATGATTATTATGATGCTCGATAATAATAGCATCAACACAGCATCGCACAAAACATTTTGCACGTGCATACACATTTATATAGTCTGAAAAAAGTTTGCCCGGCGCGAGGCATCGTCATCATGACGTTAGATAATCAGACCAAAAGAGGTATAAAAATAATAAGGACAACATTACTTTTATACACAAAGAAATGGGGCCAAAAATAATTTTCACTAAAAAAAAAGGTCGGGACCCATAAAATGGGGTCCTAAGACCCAAACCAACATTTTTTCATCCGCAAAAAAACCGGGCCAAAAATAATTTTCAACGCAAAAATGGGGTACTATTAGTACCCCATTTTCATGTACCTGTACATGCACATGAGACAAAACCCTCACATAGCTAACTACTCACGATAGCAGACCACGTGCGCAGGACGGGCCCCGGAGCCCTCCTGTCAAAGGTGGACCTGAAGCACGCTTTCCGACTCTGCCCCGTGCACCCTGACGACTGGCCGCTCCTCGGCATGTTATGGAAGGGCAACTACTATTTCGACACTGTCCTGCCATTTGGCCTACGCTCCGCTCCCAGTCTGTTTAACTGCCTGGCTACCGCCCTAGAATGGATCCTCCGTAATAACTACAGTATCCCTGCACTGGAGCACTATTTGGCTGACTTCGTATCAGTGTCTCCAGCAGCCGAGTCTGTCACATCCTCTGCGGCCGCGACCCACAAAGCCACTATTCTGCAGGTCTTCGCAAAACTGGGTGTCCTAACAGCAGACGGCCCGGACAAAGTTGTTGGCCCCGCCACCTGCCTCACAGTGCTTGGCATCGACATTGATTCAGCGGCAGGGGAGCTGCGGCTCCCAGACGAGAAGCTCCGTACATTGCGGCAACTCCTAGCAGCCTGGGCCACCCGGCCATCAGCGTCCAAACACGAACTCCAGTCCCTCGTTGGCCACCTGGCGTTCGCCGCCAAGGTCGTGCCAGCCGGTCGTTAGGCCTCCGCGGAATGTGCCGGCATGATTTCGGGAATTATCGGTGTGATTTTTAAAACGGGAATTATTGGCAATTTTTGTGGAATAATCGGTAAAATTTGAGCAATGCCCCCCTTTTTTCAATTTTTTTCCATCTACAACACCCTGATTTGTACCAAAAAGCTTATGATCCTGAAGTTGATCGCTTGGTATTTCAAAAAAGAAAGAAAGAATAAAAGCTTCCAGCCGAGTTTCACGGGAACCGTGATTTTTTTGCCCGTACAAGTGGCAAAAAACCCGTACGCGGCACGGTATCTGCAAAAAAGGGAAGAAAAAAAAGAATTATTGTGAGAATTATTGGTGGAATTAACGGAATAATCGGTCGAAATTTTGAGCAATGCTCAAAAGAATTATCAGTAAAAATACGAGCATATTCCGCGGAGGCCTACCGGTCGTACGTTCACTCGCCGCCTCATCGACCTGTGTTCCTCAGTCACCAGCCCTGCCGCGGCCGTCCGCCTCACCAGTGAGGCTCTCGCCGACATCAAATGGTGGCAGGAGTTCCTCCCACTATGGAACGGAAAGGCCCTCCTACGCGACCCCGTATGGTCAAAGGCCCCGGACCTGGAATTGTTCACCGACGCGTCTGGCATTGGTTTCGGCGGCTTTTACCAGGGTCGTTGGTTCGCGGGCACATGGTCAGCGGCGCAGCAGGCCCCACCGTACACGTCCATAATGTGGAGAGAGATGTGGCCCATCGCCATTGCCTGCCAACTCTGGGGCCCCCACTGGGCACAGAAGAAGATCCTCCTGCACTGCGATAATTCAGCAGTGTGCACTGCCTGGGAGTCCGGCACATGCCGACACGCCGGGGTCATGGCACTGATACGCAGCACCATGCAACTCACCGCTCGCCACAACTTCTGCCTGCTCGTCCGTCACATCGCCGGCGTCGACAACAGCATCGCAGACGCACTCTCCCGGGCCCAGTTCCAGCGCTTCCGCCGTCTGGTTCCCGACGCGGAGACTGCCCCATCGTCACTCGCCAGTGCCCAATCCGACAACAGATAGTCGCATCCGTCTGCAGCTGGCCAGGCGCCCCAGCCGCCAATTCAAGCTCCCAGCAATCCCAGCTACCACTGCGCAGGCTCGCCGTACGTCCGTAGTCCCCCCAGCCCAGCATCTCACATCTCTGCTCTTTTCTTGTTGTTTTGTTTCCCCCACTCTACTAACCCACCTACAATTTCCGCTGTCAATGATTATCCATGCCCTCGCCGGGGCGAACCCTTCATGGTCTATCTTACCACTCTGTGTGCTTAATGGGCTTATCCGGCCCCTTAGAACCCCCCCCTTTTCTTTTTGGGAGGAAGGGGGCCGACACCCCGCAGGCCCCGAGCCGGCGACCGCTGTACTCGGGGGCGCTCCATATGTACGCTATACGTGTGGCCCGCATGGCGCAAACAAAATATGGGCCAGGCACCGTGTTGCCATGCTACCGAGGCAAATTGTAGAGGGCATTAAGCCTACCTAGCAGGTGTAGGTTTGCCTGTATACTAGGGGCACGGCTCCGTGAGCCTGACCTACTCGCTGTCTTGTGCTCTGCATGTATATCCAGGCTCGCAAGCCGCGCGCATAACATCCCGCCGGATGTCCACCTCCCGCCGGAGGATCGCCTACAGACACCACCGCCGCAAGCAACGGCTCCTCGAGCCTACGCTTCGCCGCCCGCTGTCTTTTAGTATTGTTCTGTTTGCCTATCCAGGGTCGCTAGCCCCGCTCGGATTACATCCCGCCGAACATATAACTCCCGCCGGAGAATTGCTTACAGACACTGCCGCTGCGAGCTGCGGCTCTGCCGAACCAAGGCTGCGCCGCCCGCTGTCTGTTGTTCTGTGTGTCTGTCGAGGGTCGCCAGCCCCGCTTGCATAACATCCCGCCGGATGTCCACCTCCCGCCGGAGGATCGTTTACCGCCGCAAGCCACGGCTACGCAAGCCAACGTTTACGTGCCAACCCCATGCGTCCACCCGCAAGGCTAAGTACCTATGGGTTAGGCCAATAGCAGAGGCTCCCACCCCGCGGGGCTGGGGGGAGGGGGCTCTCGGGTCGTATTTGCATTAGCCCCGCAGCATGGGGGCGAACCTCGGCCAAACCAGTACCGGAACGCCCCGCCGAGGTCAGGGGGGGGGGGGAGATCTTCCACTAGCATAACCCACGGGTCCCCTGCTTACAATCCGCAGCCATGCCGCCGGGCCAGTGCGTTCCGGGAAGCGGGCCGCTGTTCGGCGACCCGGCGCAGCACGCATACACCGCAGCTTGGCCGCCGTGCCACCCTGCCTGTTTAGGGAACATGCTCGTGTGCGGACGTATGCGTGTGTGCGTTTGTGTTGCATGCGCTTGTGCCTGTGTCCTCCTAGGCTCGCTAGCCGCCGCTGTCTCAGCGCGAGCAGGGCACCTGATTGCCAACTCAGTAGCCACTGGCACACAGCACACGCACGCCCCAGGCTGGCGTGCATTCTTGGAGTTCATGGGTCGCATGCGGCGCGACGCACATCACCCAGATCAGAACGACGTCCTGCTGTTCGCTGCCGCAATGTCTCACTCAGTCAGCGCCAGCACTCTAAGAGTCTACCAGGCCACGATCAAATACCACCTCCTCCGCATGGGAGGCCCGGCCGGGGTTACATCCTCTAACCGCATCACAGCCCTGCTCAAGGGTTTGGAGAGGGAGAGAGCGTCACTTCCCAGGCATTCGTCAGCCCGCCCTCAGCGCCAAGCGATCACCGTCTACCAGTTGAAGGCTCTCCGCCAGTTCTTGGATCGGACCTTGTACTCCCCGGCAGACAGACTAATGCTATGGGCTGCTTTGACGACAGCCTTCCACGGCCTGCTGCGTGTGAGTGAGTACACGTCGCCGTCACCACACGGTCCCGGCGGCCTCAAGACGCTGAGGCGCGAACACCTCCGGCTAGCCCAGCAGGAGGCCTCTCTGCAGCTCCAGAGGACGAAGACGTCTGAATTAACAACAGGCGGGGAGGTAGCGCTGCATCGCTACGCTGACCCCGCACTATATCCCGTCCGAGCCCTGCAGGCTTACGTTCGGTCCAGCAAATGGAGCAATGACAAGCAACCCCTATTCAAGTTTCAGGATGGTCGCCAGCTCACGCCGAACGACATCAATGCTGTCCTACACAAAGTGCTAGGTCCAAGCATCAGCAGCCAATTCTTACGCGCTGGGGGAGCCACACACATGGCGGATCGAGGCGCACCGGAGTATGCCCTGATGGCTGCAGGCCGCTGGTCCAGCGGGGCATATCGCACGTACATTCGCAGGCCCGCAGGCATGCCACAGCACTACTAGAGCCTGCGTGTCGCAAGCCAATCGGTACCTTTATTGGAGGCACGGGTGCTGCCAATGGGCGCCGCATAGTGCACGCACATCGGCACCATTGAACTTTTCATGTGTACTAAGATTTAGTGTCACGCTGCCATAGCAACCTAGTAGTACACGTAGCCGTTCCGACGGCGCAGGACCCCGCGGGTCGCTTCTGCTGTCCTTGCCTCTCTGATGCGTGATATGTGTACATCATTTATAATCATGACCTCATACTGAGTACATGTACGTCATACTTGATTACCGATCACAGGCTCATGATTATTCATGCTGGAATAAACGCTTGCGACACCCCACAGGCTCGTCTCTCTTGTGTGGCATGAGGGTTAAATGTTGGTTTGCGTTGCGCAAACCGTAGTTAACCTACATGTCACAGAGCCGCATCTCCCGCATGGAGATGCCGTCCGCGGACACGCCAAAACCGCCAAAACCGGCCAAGTCTCATACGAGCTCCGCTAAAGTCGTACGCACTGCCGGGCTCCCGCGTGGGGCCCCACGCAAGCATTTGCAACCGCGACGCGCATACGGCATGCCGTATAAGCCACCTATCAGCCTTGGGTGCAAGCTCACCCAAGGCCACTCTCGCAAGGCAGGAACAAGTAAAGACATTCACCATTTGTTTGTTGTGCCTGCCCGCCGCAGAAATTGTTTCCCACCCTCCCGCACCATTTAAAAGGCAGGAGGCACGGGTGCTGCCAATGGGCGCCGCATATTGCACGCACATCGGCACCCTTGAACTATTCATGTGTACTAAGATTTAGTGTTCCGCTGCCATAGCAACCTAGTAGTACACGTAGCCGTTCCGACGGCGCAGGACCCCGCGGGTCGCTTCTGCTGTCCTTGCCTCTCTGATGCGTGATATGTGTACATCATTTATAATCATGACCTCATACTGAGTACATGTACGTCATACTTGATTACCGATCACAGGCTCATGATTATTCATGCTGGAATAAACGCTTGCGACACCCCACAGGCTCGTCTCTCTTGTGTGGCATGAGGGCCGGGTTAATCCCATTCACTGCATCCATGTTTCCCTCATGCAAGACCACGATTTCCCAATTAACTGTGGGTCGCAGGGTGGCTGGAAAATTCCTTCCGCTTCCAAGCAGTTCTTGAACCTGGGACCCTCTGTTTCTCAATCATGTTCTTAGACCATACACACTATGCCTGCCTGCCCAAAACTAACAAGAAACACACAAAGACTCCCTGGAACCTCCTTTTGAAGTTGATTCGGTGTAGCCTTGTCAACAGGTGGCGTAAGCAGGGACCAACATTACGAGTGCTATAACTCGTAAGAAGAAAGTGGGTACTCACAGCTCGGAGTGAGAATAACAAGGATGCAGTTTACAGGGTTATGGGCCGTTACACGCCCGATTGGTTGAGAGACTAACCTCCTCTCCCCTGACTCACTTGTGAGGTCTGCATTCGCCACTAAGGTTAACAGGCATAGTGGTGGCCTGCGGATGCGAAGGCTAGTTTGGGTGTTTCCGAACATTCAAGCGATGCCGACGCGGATCCCGCGAATATTATTATTATTATTATTATAACTCAAGAACCGGTCTTTCTATCGCTTTGAAAATTGTTCGAGGTGACAGCTGAAAGTTTTCTTTCAATCTACATAATTTCGATCTCTCCAAAAGAGATTTGCGCAAGTTAGGATAATTTCACAATGCCTACCCCATCGATCATCGTTGTTCGATCAATGTATTGGCCAGCCAATTGAGGGTTAACTCTGAGTTTCACGCATTAAATTTTATGAGTAAGTTCATGTTTTTGTCACTTTAGTCTAGCATTTTGGGATGTGGTAGGGATACTGATGGTAAGATGGTAAAATAAAGGTGGTTAAACATCAAGTTGTTTTCTGACATACCTAGCACATTGTAGTCTGGCGTTGGACATAGGAGACTGCGATCGCTCGATGAGTGCAACTTTAAAGTTGCTTGGATGAATGAGAGCAGAGTGTGTTTTGGATATCAAATATGGCACCGGCATATAGCCAAGACCTCAAAACAATGCAGGTCATATCTTCCGCATTTACCGGTATACATTAGATCAGGGGCTTGACTAACATGACTCAACGAAATTACGGTTCACAACCATAAACAACATGAAACGACATGCGCACAAATGCGAGGTGGGACAAATAACAATCAGACAGTTACTTTGAATGGGAGTATGAGAACAATCATATTATGCTACTTGAACAATGTGGTTTGTGTTGTATGTTTTTTTTTAACTTCCCCGCATGAGTTTTCAGGCGATAGAGATGTCCATCATAATAATATTAGAAACTCGGGTATTGAGCCATTAATAAATGTAGAAAAGAAAAAGAACATATGGAAACGAGTTAAGAATGTGTTACTACTCTGTGAGTTTTGTGCCTAGTTGTCGCACTTTCTGACTGTATTATAGTATCTAGTTACAGTGGTGGAGAGTTACTCTTAAGAGAGCATGTCTGAGAATACCAAAGTATGTGTGCACGTGGATCTCTCCGATTTCGCTTAAAATTTGCAGGTAGGTTCCCTTTGGGGTGTAGATCGTTTGTGCAAAGCCCTTGAAAAAGTTTCTGAAGGGAACCTTGAAATTTGGATACCCCTCACAAATGGCCGAAATATCCCAGTCATTATTTATGGGTCTAGAAACGAGTCACGCCACAGCGTAAAGGAACAAGCTAT